GTCCCCAAGGCTCCCCAGGGGTCCCAAAGTGTCCCCAAGGCTCCCCAAGGCTCCCCAGGGGTCCCAAAGTGTCCCCAAGGCTCCCCAAGGCTCCCTAAAGTGTCTCCAGGGGTCCCCAAGGCTCCCCAAAGTGTCCCCAGGATCACTGGGCTCCCCGAGGTGTCCCCATGGCCAGTGGCCCTCCTGGCGTGTTCCCTTGCCTGGTGTCCCCTCGCTGTGCCCCAGGGGTGTCCCCATGCCCAGCGTCTCCTGGATGTGTCCCCTCCCTGTGCCACGCCCGGTGTCCCCTCCATGTCCCCTCTGTCCCATGCCCGGTGTCCCCTCCGTGTCCCCGCTGTCCCCATGTCCCCTCGCTGTCCCCGGGCCGTGTCCCCATGTCCCCGTGTCCCCATGTCCCTGTGCCCCCATGTCCCCATGTCCTCGTGTCCCCATGTCCCCGTGCCCCCATGTCCCCTGTGTCCTCGTGTCCCCATGTCCCCATGTCCCCATGTCCCCTCGCTATCCCCGGGCCGTGTCCCCATGTCCCCATGTCCCCACGTCCCCATGTCCCCATGTCCCCATGTCCCCATGTCCCATGTCCCATGTCCCCGCGTCCCCGTGTCCCCAGAAGCACGAGCGGCAGGCCCAGCACCACTTCCAGCAGCAGCAGCGCCGGCGGCGCGAGGAGGAGGAGCGGCAGCGCCAGGCCGAGCTCCAGGCGCGCCGCGAGCGCGACGAGGCCGCCCGGGCCGAGGCCGCGCCACCGGACCCGGGGCACGACAAGGGCCAGGTGAGCGGGGAGCGGAGCGAGGGCGAAACCCCTTAAATCGGAGCAAAACGGGCCACGGTAAACCCGTGAATACGCTGCTTGGTCCGGTAACTGAGCCCAGCAAAACTGCCCCAGCTAAAAGAAAAAATGCAAATTTCCACACTGAAAATAGGAAATCAAAAACTCCTCAAACCTTAAAACGGAGCAAAGTAACCCAAGAGTTCTTTCTGTACTTTCTAACAAAGACTAAGTACAAATATAACTAACTGTAATATAAAATCAGCAAAATAAATATGTATCAACCTATTATAAAATTCTATGCGTATAGAAATTAACAGAAGTAATTAAAAAAATTGAAAAGTTCTCAAAGAGACGCACGCCCATTAAAAAGCAGGAAGCCCCGACAGCACTGCAAATGAGCATTCCCGTTCCCTACAAACCTTCATTACAATTCTAACCCGCGATTTTCCACCCTCGTTTCCCAGCCCAAGGGCAAAAGCTCCGGCGGCTCCTCCGCGCACGGCCCCGACAAGCCCAAGCGGCCGAGCTCGCTGCTGGCCACCAACAACGTGCTGAAGCTGAAGCAGATCATCCCGCTGCAGGGCCGCTTCCTGGCCGGCCCCGCCGCCGCCGGCCCCGCCGCCCGCTCGCCGCAGTCGCCCACGGGCGCCGAGAACAAGCTGCCGGCCTTCCTCAAGTTCCTGAAGCCGCCCGAGGCGCGGCGGGACGCGGGCACCGAGCGGGCGCAGTCGCCCACCAAGCCCTTCAACCCCGGCAAGCTCTTCAACTTCGGCAAGTCCGAAGCGCTCGGCGGCAACGGCGCCGCGGCCCCGCAGCCCCGCGCGGACGCGGCGCCCGGGAAGGCGCATCTCAACGAGGAGGCGCCGCGGGAGGAAGCGGAGAACCGGCCCGAGGAGGAGGGCGGCGGGGCCCGGCTCTGACCGGCGGCTCCGGGGGCTCCGGGGGGTCGGGAGGAGCCGGGTGGGGAAGGAGGGCGGCGGTGCCCGGTGCTGAGCGGGGCTCCGGGAGCTCCGGGGGCACGGGGAGCCGGTGAACCGGGGGGAGGAGGAGAGCGGCGGTGCCCGGTTCTAACCGGGACTCCGGGAGCACGGGGAGCCGGTGAACCGGGGGGAGGAGGAGGAGGGCGGCGGTGCCCGGTTCTGAGCGGGGCTCCGGGAGCTCTGGGAACGGGTGAACCGGGGGGAGGAGGAGGAGAGCGGCGGTGCCCGGTTCTAACCGGGGCTCCGGGAGCACGGGGAACCGGTGAACCGGGGGGAGGAGGAGGAGGAGGGCGGCGGTGCCCGGTTCTAACCGGGACTCCGGTGGTTCCGGGAGCCGGTGAACCGGGAGGAAGAGGAGGAGGAGGAGGGCGGCGGTGCCCGGTTCTAACCGGGACTCCGGGAGCTCCGGGGGCACGGGGAGCCGGTGAACCGGGGGGAGGAGGAGGAGGAGGAGGAGAGCGGCGGTGCCCGGTGCTGAGCGGGGCTCCGGGAGCTCCGGGGGCACGGGGAGCCGGTGAACCGCGGGGAGGAGGAGAGCGGCGGTGCCCGGTTCTAACCGGGACTCCGGGAGCACGGGGAGCCGGTGAACCGGGAGGAGGAGGAGAGCGGCGGTGCCCGGTTCTAACCGGGGCTCCGGGAGCTCCGGGGGCACGGGGAGCCGGTGTACCGGGGGCAAGAGGAGGAGGAGGGCGACGGTGCCCGGTGCTGAGCGGGGCTCCGGGGGCACGGGGAGCCGGTGAACCGGGGGGAGGAGGAGGAGGAGAGCGGCGGTGCCCGGTTCTAACCGGGACTCCGGGAGCACAGGGAGCCGGTGAACCGGGAGGAAGAGGAGGAGGAGGAGGAGGGCGGCGGTGCCCGGTTCTAACCGGGGCTCCGGTGGTTCCGGCGGTTCCGGGAGCCGCCCGGTCCCTGCTGCGCGCGGCCGTGGCCGTGGGGAGCCTCTCGCCGCCGCTCGCCCGCGGGGCCGCGCCGGGCCCGGTGGCCGCCGGCGCCGCGCTCCGCTCCGGTGCTCTGTGCTGTGTCCCGCCGTGTGCCCCCGGTCCCCCGGGCCGGGTCCCCCCGGTTCCCCCCGGTCCCCCGGGCTGTGTCCCCCCGGTTCCCCCCGGCCCCGCCGCTCGGAGCCGCCGCCACCGCCCCGGGGCCCGCGGGGGGACAGCGGGGGAGGCCTGAGAGCGGCGAGGCGGCGGAATCCCGGTACCGGGAGCAGGGCGCGAGTTATCCCGGTGCGGCTGGAGCATCCCGGTACCGGGAGCAGGGCGCGAGTTATCCCGGTGCGGCTGGAGCGTCCCGGTACCGGGAGCAGGGCGCGAGTTACCCCGGTGCGGCTGGAGCGTCCCGGTACCGGGAGCAGGGCGCGAGTTATCCCGGTGCGGCTGGAGCATCCCGGTACCGGGAGCAGGCCGCGAGTTACCCCGGTGCGGCTGGAGCATCCCGGTTTTTGGAGCGTACTGAAACTTCCCAGGCTCACCGGAGGGAGTTATCCCGGTTTTTTGGAGCATCCCGGTTTCCATGGGTACCGGGGGCAGTTATCCCGGTTTTTTGGAGCATCCCAAACTCTCCCACACTCCCGGTTCACCCCAGAGACGCCGCGCTCCAGCCTTTGGATCCTCCGGGAGCCGCATCCCGCTCCTGGAATTCCGGGAATTCCCGGGATCCCCGGGACGAGCCCGATTCAGCCGTGCCTCAGCCCTGCTCCCCCCGCCCGGATCCCGAATCCCGAATCCCGGGTGCTGAATCCCGAATCCCGGATCCCGGGTGCTGAATCCCGGATCCCGGGTGCTGAATCCCGGATCCCGGGTGCTGAATCCCGGTCCCGGGTGCTGAATCCCGAATCCCGGGTGCTGAATCCCGAATCCCGGATCCCGGGTGCTGAATCCCGGATCCCGGGTGCTGAATCCCGGATCCCGCAGACCTTTCCCGGGAATTTCCAGCCGGGAATGGGGCGCGTTTCCCGGGAATCCCGTGCATGGGCAGCGTTTCTTGCACTAAATCCCAACCCCGATCCCGCCGCCGGTGCCGCTTCTCCCAGAAAAATCCCAAATCCCCGCGGGCCGTTCCCGGCTCCAGCTCCGAATTCCCTGGAATTCCGCCGCAATGAGGGGGGGGGCAGTGGGGGAGGGGGTGGGAGCCGCTTCGCTGCTGCCGCGGGAAGGAATTCCGGCATTCCCGGGATTCCGGCATTCCCGGGATTCCGGCATTCCCGGGATTCCGGCATTCCCGGCATTCCGGCATTCCGGCATTCCCGGATTCCGGCATTCCCGGGATTCCGGCATTCCCGGCATTCCGGCATTCCGGCATTCCCGGAATTCCGGCATTCCCGGGATTCCGGCATTCCCGGATTCCGGCATTCCCGGGATCGGCTTCTCCAGCGGGATCCCTGCTGGGAACGCGCTCCCTCCTTTCCCTGCTTCGCTTGGTGGCACCTGGGGACATCCATTCCCAAAGGGAAAAATCTGGGAAAACAGGAAAAAAAACTGGGAAAAGGGGGGGGGGGGGGGGGGGTGTTGGTCCCGAGTCTCCTCCTGTTCCCTCTTCCCAAAAATCAGGTTGGAATTTTTTTGGGGTTTCTCCCCCTCCTCTTTCAAAGAATCCATGGAATTTCAAAGAATCCATGGAATTTGGGGGTTTGGAGTTTTTTTGGGAAGCGGGAGCCCAAATCGAAGCCATTTTCCAGAGCAATAAGGGCGGGAGAATCCGGGATTCCCAAGGGAAAGGCTCGGGAGCAGGAAAAATCCCGGTGGGATCGGGGAGATCTGGGAATGTGGGATGGAGATCTGGGAAGGGAAATTTGGGAACTGGGGACGGAGACTGGGATTGGGGATGGAGATTTGGGATTGGGGATGGAGATTTGGGATTGGGGATGGAGATTTGGGATTGGGGATGGAGATTTGGGAATTGGGAATGGAATTTGGGAATGTGGGGATGGAATTTTGGGATTGGGGATGGGGATTTGGGAATCTGGGACAGATTTGGGAACGCGGATGTGGGAGGATCCAAATCCGCCCATCTGCCCTGGAATATCCCGGAGAGCAAATCCCGGGAAAAGGAGCCCCGGGAACGTCGGGAATTCCGGGAAACCGAGACCCCAAAACTCCAGGAGGCTCCGGCTCCTCTTCCCTCCCTCATCCCACGGGATCTTCCCGCTCTGCCCATCCCAAAAAACCCCGGGAATGGCTTGGATCCCATTTCCCTCCGGAGCAGAGAATTCCCAGAGGGAAAAGCCCCAAATCCGGGGAATTTTTCATCCCTTTCCCAAAAAAATCTCTGGAATTTTGGAGGAGGGAAAAATTCGGAAATGGTTTTTCCTTTGATTTTTTTCCTTGGAGTGGGAATTCCAGGAAAGGAAGGAAAAGGGGGGGGAGGGGGGGTTAATTTATTTATTTTTAATTTATTTTTGTAAAATCCGCAATAAAAAGAAATTTATTTCGACAGCTCATCTGCATCTCATTTGCATAATTGAATATTCTAATTAGTATCCAGGATCCACAGCAGCATTCCCAACCTCTGGAAAATGGGATCCAAATATTCCCAAGAGCCAGGAAAGGATGGGAAAATCCGATTAAATCCTCGAAATTCCATCAATTTATTGTTTATAAAAATGTGG